GTGCACCATCTATCAGTGCACCATCTATCAGTGCACCATCTATCAGTGCACCATCTATCAGTGCACCATCTATCAGTGCACCATCTATCAGTGCACCATCTATCAGTGCACCATCTATCAGTGCACCATCTATCAGTGCACCATCTAACAGTGCACCATCTATCAGTGCACCATCTAACACTGCACCATCTAACAGTGCACCATCTATCAGTGCACCATCTAACAGTCCACCATCTATCAGTGCACCATCTATCAGTGCACCATCTATCAGTGCACCATCTAACAGTGCACCATCTATCAGTGCACCATCTATCAGTGCACCATCTATCAGTGCACCATCTATCAGTGCACCATCTATCAGTGCACCATCTATCAGTGCACCATTTATCAGTGCACCATCTATCAGTGCACCATCTATCAGTGCACCATCTATCAGTGCACCATCTATCAGTGCACCATCTATCAGTGCACCATCTATCAGTGCACCATCTATCAGTGCACCATCTATCAGTGCACCATCTATCAGTGCACCATCTATCAGTGCACCATCTATCAGTGCACCATCTAACAGTGCACCATCTATCAGTGCACCATCTATCAGTGCACCATCTATCAGTGCACCATCTATCAGTGCACCATCTATCAGTGCACCATCTATCAGTGCACCATCTATCAGTGCACCATCTATCAGTGCACCATCTATCAGTGCACCATCTATCAGTGCACCATCTATCAGTGCACCATCTATCAGTGCACCATCTATCAGTGCACCATCTATCAGTGCACCATCTATCAGTGCACCATCTATCAGTGCACCATCTATCAGTGCACCATCTATCAGTGCACCATCTATCAGTGCACCATCTATCCATCTATAAGAACAGTGAAAAAACAAATCACTTAATTTCTACCTATGACAATAAATTTACGTTAGTTTATAGCATTGATGACCATCGTGGGTCACACCAGCTCATTGATGACCATCGTGGGTCACACCAGCTCATTGATGACCATCGTGGGTCACACCAGCTCATTGATGACCATCGTGGGTCACACCAGCTCATTGATGACCATCGTGGGTCACACCAGCTCATTGATGACCATCGTGGGTCACACCAGCTCATTGATGACCATCGTGGGTCACACCAGCTCATTGATGACCATCGTGGGTCACACCAGCTCATTGATGACCATCGTGGGTCCACACCAGCTCATTGATGACCATCGTGGGTCACACCAGCTCATTGATGACCATCGTGGGTCACACCAGCTCATTGATGACCATCGTGGGTCACACCAGCTCATTGATGACCATCGTGGGTCACACCAGCTCATTGATGACCATCGTGGGTCACACCAGCTCATTGATGACCATCGTGGTCACACCAGCTCATTGATGACCATCGTGGGTCACACCAGCTCATTGATGACCATCGTGGGTCACACCAGCTCATTGATGACCATCGTGGTCACACCAGCTCATTGATGACCATCGTGGTCACACCAGCTCATTGATGACCATCGTGGGTCACACCAGCTCATTGATGACCATCGTGGGTCACACCAGCTCATTGATGTTGACCACATCATCAACGCTACCTCAACTTTCTACGTCACTGGAGTCAGAGGGTTCAGAGTAGCACTGCTGTCTAGCTAGACGCAGTTTTAGCTGTCTAGAGTGCAGTGTCTTTACTTTCTCTGTATCTGTTGTTTTGAAAGTTCTCGTTATCCATCCTCGCGTACGTGAGTCTTACACGTGCATTGTATATCAAGTACATAGTACCTTACGTACATTGTATATCACGTACATTCTGCCTGCTGTTCTTATTAATATAGTTTAATAAGTTAGATGACCGTGAAAGATGCTCTAACAGGAAGATAACAGAGGAGGGTCCCACAACAGGAAGTAACAGAGAAGGGTTCCACAACAGGAAATTAACAAAGAAGAGTCCCACAACAGGAAGGAAGATAACAGAGAAGAGTCGCACAACAGGAAGACAGCAGAGGAGGGTCCCACAGCAGGAAGACAGCAGAGGAGGGTCCCACAACAGGAAGACAGCAGAGGACGTCCGCACAACAGGAAGACAGCAGAGGAGGGTCCCACAACAGGAAGACAGCAGAGGAGGGTCCCACAACAGGAAGACAGCAGAGGAGGGTCCCACAACAGGAAGACAGCAGAGGAGGGCCCCACAACAGGAAGACAGCAGAGGAGGGCCCCACAACAGGAAGACAGCAGAGGAGGGCCCCACAACAGGAAGACAGCAGAGGAGGTCCCCACAACAGGAAGACAGCAGAGGAGGGTCCCACAACAGGAAGACAGCAGAGGAGGTCCGCACAACAGGAAAACAGCAGAGGAGGGTCCCACAACAGGAAGACAGCAGAGGAGGGTCCCACAACAGGAAGACAGCAGAGGAGGACCCCACAACAGGAAGACAGCAGAGGAGGGTCCCACAACAGGAAGACAGCAGAGGAGGGTCCCACAGCAGGAAGACAGCAGAGGAGGGCCCCACAACAGGAAGACAGCAGAGGAGGTCCCCACAACAGGAAGACAGCAGAGGAGGGTCCCACAGCAGGAAGACAGCAGAGGAGGGCCCCACAACAGGAAGACAGCAGAGGAGGGTCCCACAGCAGGAAGACAGCAGAGGAGGTCCCCACAACAGGAAGACAGCAGAGGAGGGTCCCACAACAGGAAGACAGCAGAGGAGGTCCCCACAACAGGAAGACAGCAGAGGAGGTCCGCACAACAGGAAGACAGCAGAGGAGGGTCCCACAACAGGAAGACAGCAGAGGAGGGTCCCACAACAGGAAGACAGCAGATGAGGGCCCCACAACAGGAAGACAGCAGAGGAGGTCCCCACAACAGGAAGACAACAGAGGAGGGTCCCACAACAGGAAGACAGCAGAGGAGGGTCCCACAACAGGAAGACAGCAGATGAGGGCCCCACAACAGGAAGACAGCAGAGGAGGTCCCCACAACAGGAAGACAGCAGAGGAGGGTCCCACAACAGGAAGACAGCAGAGGAGGGTCCCACAACAGGAAGATAGCAGAGGAGGTCCGCACAACAGGAAGACAGCAGAGGAGGACCCCACAACAGGAAGACAGCAGAGGAGGGTCCCACAACAGGAAGACAGCAGAGGAGGGTCCCACAACAGGAAGACAGCAGAGGAGGTCCCCACAACAGGAAGACAGCAGAGGAGGTCCCCACAACAGGAAGACAACAGAGGAGGTCCCCACAACAGGAAGACAGCAGAGGAGGTCCCATAACAGGAAGACAGCAGAGGAGGTCCCACAACAGGAAGACAGCAGAGGAGGGTCCCACAACAGGAAGACAGCAGAGGAGGACCCACAACAGGAAGACAGCAGAGGAGGGCCCACAACAGGAAGACAGCAGAGGAGGTCCCCACAACAGGAAGACAGCAGAGGAGGTCCCACAACAGGAAGACAGCAGAGGAGGTCCCCACAACAGGAAGACAGCAGAGGAGGTCCCCACAACAGGAAGACAGCAGAGGAGGTCCGCACAACAGGAAGACAGCAGAGGAGGTCCCCACAACAGGAAGACAGCAGAGGAGGTCCGCACAACAGGAAGACAGCAGAGGAGGGTCCCACAACAGGAAGACAGCAGAGGAGGGTCCCACAACAGGAAGACAGCAGAGGAGGTCCGCACAACAGGAAGACAGCAGAGGAGGGTCCCACAACAGGAAGACAGCAGAGGAGGTCCGCACAACAGGAAGACAGCAGAGGAGGTCCCCACAACAGGAAGACAGCAGAGGAGGTCCGCACAACAGGAAGACAGCAGAGGAGGGTCCCACAACAGGAAGACAGCAGAGGAGGTCCGCACAACAGGAAGACAGCAGAGGAGGGTCCCACAACAGGAAGACAGCAGAGGAGGTCCGCACAACAGGAAGACAGCAGAGGAGGGCCCCACAACAGGAAGACAGCAGAGGAGGTCCCCACAACAGGAAGACAGCAGAGGAGGGCCCACAACAGGAAGACAGCAGAGGAGGGCCCCACAACAGGAAGACAGCAGAGGAGGGCCCCACAACAGGAAGACAGCAGAGGAGGTCCCCACAACAGGACGACAGCAGAGGAGGGCCCACAACAGGAAGACAGCAGAGGAGGGCCCCACAACAGGAAGACAGCAGAGGACGGCCCCACAACAGGAAGACAGCAGAGGAGGTCCCCACAACAGGAAGACAGCAGAGGAGGGCCCACAACAGGAAGACAGCAGAGGAGGGCCCACAACAGGAAGACAGCAGAGGAGGGCCCCACAACAGGAAGACAGCAGAGGAGGGCCCCACAACAGGAAGACAGCAGAGGAGGGCCCACAACAGGAAGATGACATACCGCAGGTAGAATAACAGCAGAGAGAGTGGAGGAAGAAAGTAGAGTTTTTAACAGGAAGAAAGATGGCGTTACCTCCCAACAGGAAGTCAAAACGGTAGGGTCCCCCCTCCCTCCTTCCCCACTAACAGGAAGAGCAGGAACAGAATGTTGCCACAACGGTAAGTTACCAAGAGGGGAATTTACTTGTTCACAACGGTTGAGAGAGAGAGAGAAAGAGAGAGAGAGAGAAAGAGGGTGGTGAAAGTATTTATAGATATGGAGAGAGAGAGAGAGAGAGAGAGAGAGAGAGAGAGAGAGAGAGAGAGAGAGAGAGAGAGAGAGAGAGAGAGGGATCCTTAACCTTGTCAAACCATGTGTAAAAAAAAAAAAAAAAAAAAAAAAAAAAAGAAAGAGGGTGGTGAAAGTATTTATAGATATGGAGAGAGAGGAGAGAGAGAGAGAGAGAGAGAGAGAGAGAGAGAGAGAGAGAGAGAGAGAGAGAGAGAGAGAGAGAGAGAGAGAGAGAGAGAGAGAGAGAGAGAGAGAGAGAGAGAGAGAAGAGAGAGAGAGAGAGAGAGAAGAGAGAGAGAGGGAGAGAGAAAGAGAGAAAGAGAGAAAGGGGGTAGGGTTAGCGTGTGTTGTAAGATTTCGTGGCTATTTAGCTGACATAGGTTACCTGGGTCTGCCCGGGCTGACGTCTGCCTCACTGTCACGACGGCTGACCTGCTGAACACAGGCCTCCACACCCGTCACTGTTGTTCAGTGAACTGTCAGCAGTGTTGTTGCTAGGTTAGTAGTGTGTGCTGTCAGCAGTGTTGTTGCTAGGTTAGTAGTGTGAACTGTCAGCAGTGTTGTTGCTAGGTTAGTAGTGTGAACTGTCAGCAGTGTTATTAAGTTAGTTAACGTGTACAGTGACCAAGTTGTTCATTTAGATGTGTTCAGCCAGAGTGTACTCTTCTTTATATGGTTGCAGCTCCTGGTCCCGCCTCCTCGCTAACCGCTACTGACTTTGCTTTCTCTCCTGTTTCGGGAAGCTTGCCGTACCTCTTCTCAAAGCTACGTATGCATACTGCCTCTACCAGTACACTTTCCAGTTCGTTCCTCATCCTGATTACTTTAGGGCTGAAGAAATACTTCCTAACATCCCTCTGACTCATCTGTGTTTTCGTGTTCCTGTTTCCAGTCCGTCTCGTCAATTCCCCTCAGTATTTTGTACGTCGTTATCATATCTTCCCCGAGTCCTCCTGTCCTCCAGTGTCGTCAAGTTGACTTCTCTTAACCTCTCCTCAAAAGTCACACCCCTTAGTTCCCTTAACCTGTTCTAATAGGACATACCTCTTAGTTCCCTTAACCTGTTCTAATAGGACATACCTCTTAGTTCCCTTAACCTGTTCTAATAGGACATACCTCTTAGTTCCCTTAACCTTTCCTTATAGGATATACCCCTTAACTCCGGGACTAGTCTTGTTGCAAACCTTTGCACTTTCTCCAGTTTCTTGACGTGCTTGGCTAGGTGTGGGTTCCACACTGGTGCCGCGTACTCCAGTATGGGCCTGACACACACAGTGTACAGTATGTTTGTTTACGTGTTTATTAATGGATTATGTGCTTGTGTTTGTGTTAAAACACAATTAATTAGTGCTGGTGTTTTTTTGGCGGTACTTTTTATATCGTTCTATGTAACTGCAGTGATATCATTAGAAGTGTTGCAGTGCTTCAATATATCACTGCTAGTAGCAATAATTAGTTACCATTTTGTCCTAGGCATATGTCGATTAGACACTAGACCTGTTGTATATGCGTGTGTGTATGTGTGTGTGTATGTGTGTGTGTATGTGTGTGTGTATGTGTATGTTACCATTTTCCTACGTAGTGGCTCTTCGTGTTACAGCCACTGCAGTGACAACCACTGCGGCGATAGCCACTGCAGTGACAGCCACTGGAGTAACAGCCAGTCGACAGTGAGGTTAGCGCAACATGATATCGGATTCCAAATCCATCAAGACATTCCGACTGACCTTTACCAGGAAGATGACTCTCGTGTGTCTCCTTCCTCCCTCTCTCCCTTCCTTCATGCATCCTTTTCCCCTCCCTCTTCCCCTTCTCTCTCTCTCTCTCTCTCTCTCTCTCTCTCTCTCTCAACTCCTTCACCTACACAAACGCTCATGAGCCCATCCACCATCCACCGTCCATCATCCACCATCCACCGTCCACCATCCACCTTCCACCTATTCACCTTAAACTTACTGATTCACCTCATGTAGAAACAAAAGGACACATATTGTATGTTAAATATGTGTATTTTGTTATCTCGTGATGCAAACATAAACTATTTAACATGTTTATAAAAGCTCTTAGACGACGTGATTTTGGTTTCACGTTTTTGAAAGTTGTCATAACGAATTCAAAAGTCAATTCTCGTTGTGTGACGCGTGTAATGTATTGTCAGATCAGGAAAAGGTTGCACAAGTTGCTCAGAGTTCACCTTTTGTCTCTAAATCGTCAAAAAGAGTCGCTTTTCAGGAGAAGGAGAGAGGAAGCCTCTTAGTGTTACTTGGAGTCTCGTCAGCGGTACTTGGCAGCATGCCCGGCCACCTCAAGAAGACCTCGGGTTCTGACCCAGACCCCAGCGAGTACCTCTTCATCTCGATGGAGATGAAGATGCAGGATGCTACCAAACCTTACGATGCTAAGAAATCCTGCTGGGTTCCTGATCCCAAGGAAGGGTTCGTCGAAGGTGAGATCTGCGGCACCAAGGGCGACCTAGTCACTGTGGTTGCTGGAGGTGAAACTAAGAACTGGAAGAAGGACCTCGTGCAGCAGGCCAACCCACCTAAGTATGAAAAATGTGAGGACATGTCTAACCTCACCTTCCTCAACGACGCTTCCGTCCTCTACAACCTGAAGTCTCGCTACTTGGCCAACCTCATCTACACCTACTCTGGTCTCTTCTGTATCGCCATCAACCCCTACAAGCGCTACCCCATCTACACCAACCGTGTGGTCAAGATCTACCAGTGCAAGAGGCGTAATGAGGTGCCTCCCCATCTCTTTGCCATTTCTGACGGTGCTTACATGAACATGATACAAGGTGAGTATCACATGGGAATGAATTTCTTTACACTTGCCGGGAGAATAAAACCCCCAATACTGTGACTAAAACGACTGACAACTCACCCACAAATAAGGGATGAAGCTGGTCGACGTTTCGGTCCCCTCCTAGACCATTATCAGTAACTAGTGAACTCGATAATCATAAGACACGGATTTGAAACCTCGTCTACTACGATTCCCAGTCCCTGTGTTAGCTGTCAAGTACACATTGTAAACACCGTGTAGACGAATACTCTCCCAAAGACCGAAACCCACAGACAGCCAGACCAAAGACCATTTTAAAGACAACTCACATTCAGACCATTACACAGAATTAACATAAACTTATACTAAATTATCCCTGGCAAAATAGTCAGTCAGAATTACGTAACGACGTTCACAATTGCAGAAAAAATTAGCATTATCATATCTAATTTGATATTTAATAATATTTAATTTGATATTTAATTATATTTAATAATATAATGATAATATCACTATTACTAGCATTAAGAGTAATATAAATATTAACTGTACTGTGTTTTCTTGCAGTTTCTGAGAACCAGTCACTGCTCATCACGTAAGATCACAGTTTTTATTGTTATGTAATATATATGGTTTGAAAATAATTATAAATTTGTTTATATGATATAATCTTATATATAATTTCAATATTTAATGTAGTTTGTGCATAAGTTTTTGTCACAGTAACACGGGAAGTATCTGTCATAACAGTGTCTGTCACAGTAACACGGGAAGTATCTGTCATAACAGTGTCTGTCACAGTAACACGGGAAGTATCTGTCATAACAGTGTCTGTCACAGTAACACGGGAAATATCTGTCATAACAGTGTCTGTCACAGTAACACGGGAAGTATCTGTCATAACAGTGTCTGTCACAGTAACACGGGAAGTATCTGTCATAACAGTGTCTGTCACAGTAACACGGGAAGTATCTGTCATAACAGTGTCTGTCACAGTAACACGGGAAATATCTGCCATAACAGTGTCTGTCACAGTAACACGGGAAATATCTGTCATAACAGTGTCTGTCACAGTAACACGGGAAATATCTGCCATAACAGTGTCTGTCACAGTAACACGGGAAATATCTGTCATAACAGTGTCTGTCACAGTAACACGGGAAATATCTGCCATAACAGTGTCTGTCACAGTAAGGTCCCCTTAAAAATAACTATGGGCATCTTACTGACAAAGAGAATGAAATGTGTTCGATTTTAAATAATTATTTTCTCTCGGTTTTTACACAGGAAGACACTAATAATATTCCGGTAATTAATTTTTATAGTGGGCCAGAAGAAGATAAATTACGTAACATCACAGTCACTAGTGAAATGGTTGTGAAGCAGATAGACAGACTGAAGCAAAATAAGTCACCGGGTCCTGATGAGGTTTTATCAAGGGTTCTTAAGGAATGCAAAATGGAACTCTGCGAACCATTAACTAATATTTTTAATTTATCTCTTCAAACAGGTGTAGTGTCTGATATGTGGAAGATGGCTAATGTAATTCCTATTTTTAAAACAGGGGACAAGTCGTTACCGTCAAATTACCGCCCAATAAGCCTGACCTCAATTGTAGGCAAATTACTAGAGTCAATTATAGCTGAGATTATAAGAAGCCATCTCGGTAAGCATAGCTTGATTAATGATACTCAGCATGGATTCACAAGAGGCCGGTCTTGTCTAACTAATTTATTAACTTTCTTCAGTAAAGCTTTTGAGGCTGTTGACCACGATAAAGAATTTGATATTATTTACTTAGATTTTAGTAAGGCATTTGATAGAGTTCCACACCAAAGACTGTTGAAGAAAGTAGCAGCTCATGGCATTGGGGGAAGGGTGCTCTCGTGAATTGAATCATGGCTCACAGACAGGAAGCAGAGAGTGTCCATAAATGGGGTTAAATCCGAGTGGGGATCAGTAACGAGTGGCGTTCCACAGGGATCAGTCTTGGGCCCGTTGTTGTTTATAATATATATCAATGATCTTGATGAAGGAATTACTAGTGATATGAGCAAATTCGCCGATGACACGAAGATAGGTAGGATAATTGATTCATAAGAACATAAGAACATAAGAAAGGAGGAACACTGCAGGAGGATTTAGACAAACTCTACTCTTGGTCAGAAAAGTGGCAGATGCAGTTCAATGTAAATAAATGCAAGGTTCTGAAGTTCGGGAGTGTCCATAACCCTAGCACTTATAAGTTAAATAATGTAAAACTTAGCCATACAGATTGCGAAAAGGACTTGGGGGTTATGGTAAGCAGCAACCTTAAACCAAGACAGCAATGCCTAAGCGTACGTAATAAGGCAAATAGATTACTGGGATTTATATCAAGAAGTGTAAGCAACAGAAGTCCAGAGGTCATACTGCAGCTTTATACATCATTAGTAAGGCCTCACCTAGATTATGCAGCTCAATTCTGGTCTCCATATTACAGAATGGACATAAATTCGTTAGAAAACATTCAGCGTAGAATGACTAAATTAATACATAGCATTAGAAATCTTCCTTATGAAGAAAGATTGAAGACTCTTAAGTTACATTCACTTGTTAGACGAAGAATGAGGGGAGACCTGATCGAAGTGTATAAGTGGAAGATAGGTATTAATAAAGGGGATATTAACAAGGTCTTGAGGATATCTCTCCAAGAGAGAACCCGCAGTAATGGATTTAAATTAGATAAGTTTAGATTTAGAAAGGACATAGGAAAGTATTGGTTTGGAAATAGGGTAGTTGATGAGTGGAACAGTCTACCTAGTTGGATTATTGAGGCTAGGACTTTGGGTAGTTTCAAATTTAGGTTGGATAAATACATGAGTGGGAGGGGTTGGATTTGAGTGGGACTTTCACATCAGAGCTTATTTCTTGGGTGGCATTGAAAATTGGGTTGGTCAAATGTTTGTTAGTGGGATGAATTGTAAAGGACCTGCTAGTATGGGCCAACAGGCCTCCTGCAGTGTTCCTCCTTTCTTATGTTCTTATAACAGTGTCTGTCACTGTAACACGGGAAGTATCTGTCATAACAGTGTCTGTCACAGTAACACGGGAAGTACATATATCTCAACAGTGTTTGTCACGGCAACAGAGTAACAGAGAGACTATCTCTCACAACAGTATGTTTGTCTCTGCCCCAACAGTGGTGAGTCTGGTGCTGGTAAGACTGAGAACACCAAGATGGCTCTCTCTTACTTCGCCAACATTGGTGCCAACACCAAGAAGAATGAGGAGAAGAAGCAAGTAAGATTATAGTACACACACGATGAGATTAAGACACATGTGCAACATCTGGGTATCTTTATTGTAGACGTTTCGCCATCCAGTGGCTTTATCAATACAAATTCTAGGACATAACTTGAAGACAGTAGAACTATGTACAGAAGATGAGGTAATCAGTCCCTCAACCTAGGAGTAGGTGCGAACAGCACCATAGTCGTGGAGATTCTGAAGCAGAAGAAAGGAGCCTGGCGCTTATATAGTAACGTCAGGTGTAGCAGACGAGGGCATATTCACTGGTAGTCTACAATAAAGATACCCAGATGTTGCACATGTGTCTTAATCTCATCTTGTCGGTATTATATACCATTCGTACACATAGTACACACACACTCATATTAACTTCAAATTTACGAAGTGTATATTTGTTATATCACCATTTAGTGAATTTTTTGTGCAGAGTGGAAAAATGGAGAGAGAATCCATTCTTGTAATTTATAATATAGTAGCTTAATTGAGATTACCTTTAACTTAAAATAACATATCTACCTTCCTTTCACCTAAGTATCTTACATATTCTTACCATGGATATGAACTTCATCTAATATCTAAATGAACTTCTGTTGACACTTTTGCGTATCCATATGCTCTTGCGTTAACCTCCAAGGGATGGATGCTATGTAAACAATACACCAGCCACTTGCCAACATACTTAATATACTCGTATCTCAATCTTCCTCTAACATAACCTAGGTAAGGAATGTATAATTCTACTCCATTTGTCTCTTGAAGTTAATTTGTATCACTATTAAGATTTCTTTTGCGAAAACTCTACTTAAAAAAATAATTCTTGCATTGGGACATCAGAACCTGGAGGACCAGATCATCCAGACCAACCCTGTACTGGAGGCCTTCGGTAACGCCAAGACCACCCGTAACGACAACTCCTCCCGCTTCGTAAGTTCGTCTTTCTCTTGTTTACACCTGTTACACGGGGGTGAAATGTTCTTGCTGATAAGAAAATTCGTCTAATTGTCGTTACAACGACCCGTGTTTTGTCTCCCGCACACAGGGTAAGTTCATCCGTATCCACTTCCAACCCAACGGCAAGCTGTCTGGTGCTGATATTGAGGTCTACCTGCTGGAGAAGGCTCGTGTTATCTCCCAACAACCCGCCGAGCGTTCCTACCACATCTTCTACGAGATGATGTCCGACCAGATCAAGAAAATCAAACGTAAGTGTCAATCTTCCAGTGTGCAATCTATTAACAAAGTTACATTCCGTGCAAAATCAAAAATCTTTTAAGCCGCTCTCTTCTTGAAAATTTTCACCATAAACATATTAGTATTAAGTGCAATTTATTTTCATTACTAGAGTGTTGAAGTTAAAGCGATATCACAATCGATTTCTTCAGCTTTATGTCACCTCAGTGATGACATCTACGACTACCACTACGTGTCTCAGGGCAAGGTCACCGTCCCGTCCATTGATGACGCCGAGGACATGCAGTTCTGTCACGTGAGTATGAAGGACATGAAACTCTATCGCGTGATAGCGAAATGACATGAAATTCTGCGAAGTGAGGATAGAGGCACAATATAGTTCTGTCAAGTGGATGTTGAGGAATTAGCTGTCAAATCTGAAGCAGCTGCCTGTTAGACATTACATTAATCATAAACATTAATTTACAACATTTTCTGTGCGATTATTTCCATGGTCTTGTGTAACTTTGTCATCCAAATAACATTAACTAAAAAATCATATGAAAAGTGTAATAAAATCTAAGAGATAAAGTATTTTGAATAAATAATGTATTTTTAGGTAAAAAATAAAGTTTAGTTTTAGTTTAGTTGTCCGAAAAATCGTCAATTACCGTCAGTTTCGGTTATAAGTGTGTTAATCGTTTTTATTTATAACAGGACGCTTTTGATGTGCTAGGCTTCAGTCAGCAGGAGGTCGAGGACGTGTACAGACTCACAGCAGCGGTCATGCACTTCGGGAACATGAGGTTCAAGCAGAGGGGTCGCGAGGAGCAGGCAGAGCCCGACGGTACCGAGGTAATAAAGAAAATTATATTTGAAATGCTCATGGTACGTGGTAATAGGTAATCAGTGGAAAATATTGTCTATTTAAAGTTTTTATCTAATTCGTGAACGATGTTAAGATTGTTGGTGAGAGATGAGGGAAGTCCCTCACTTAATCACTTGTTATCTTCCTTAGGTTGGGAATGTTATTGGTAAACTATTGGGCGTTGATGGTAACGACCTGTACAAAAACATTACCAAGCCCAAGATCAGGGTTGGCGCTGAGTTCGTAGCCAAGGGCATGAACGTGGATCAATGTTACTACTCTGTTGGTGCCCTGGCCAAGGCTGTGTTTGACCGGGTCTTCAAGTGGCTGGTGGCCAAGTGTAACCAGACTCTGGAAACTGATTTAAAACGTTCCACGTTTATTGGCGTCCTGGATATCTCGGGCTTCGAAATATTCGATGTAAGAAACAGTATTTTGCAATCAGTATAAAGTACAATTTTGCTTTACATTAAAAAGAAATATACGAAGAGTAATGCAACTTTTCCCATGTATATATTACAGTACAACGGCTTCGAGCAGATCTGCATCAATTTCTGCAACGAGAAGTTGCAGCAGTTCTTCAACCATCACATGTTTGTGCTGGAGCAGGAAGAGTACAAGAGGGAAGGCATCAACTGGGTCTTCGTGGACTTCGGTATGGATCTCCAAGCTTGCATCGAACTCTTCGAGAAGGTAAATATATAAGTCCCCAATCTTCACTGATTACGTCAATGTTGAGTCTTGTGATTATTTACACTGATTTATTCAAGGAATCCATGAAATACTTTCTGAGAAACGAGATACATATTGCGTAAAGAGCTTCGTCATTTTTGCTGAGTCTTTCACATCATTCCAACAGAAAATGGGTCTGCTCTCTATCTTAGAGGAAGAGTCCATGTTCCCCAAGACCAGTGACAAGTCCTTCCAGGAGAAGTTGAATGTCAACCATTTAGGCAAGTCCTCTGTGTTTATCAAGCCCAAGCCACCCAAGCCCGGGCAGTCTGAGTCCCACTTCGCCATCGTTCACTACGCTGGTACTGTGAGCTACAACTTGACTGGCTGGCTGGAGAAGAACAAGGATCCCCTCAACGACACCGTCGTCGACCAGCTCAAAAAGTCTTCCAATGAGCTTGTCGTCACAATCTTCCTTGACCATCCTGGACAATCTGGTAGTGGTGACGCTAAAGGTGAGCTTCACAACACAGCCTGCAGGACGCCATTAAACCTGCACAGTATAAACTTATTGTACCTTCAGAAAAAGTAAATGATACTCTCTACGTAAAAATTAAATATGTACAAGTATATAATGACAACATCTTCTAGATAATAGTTTTAACAAAGAGATACTTATGTATATGTGTTATGTTTCCATAGGTGGCAAAAAATCATTGGGATTTAGAACCGTGACTTCCGGATACAGGGTACGTATGAATATAGAGCACGTATGGATATAGCGCACGTAGAGATATAAGGTTCGTATGGTTATAGGGTATGTATGGATATAGGGTACGTATGGATATAGGTCACGTATGGATATAGAGCACGTATGGATATAGAGCACGTATGGATATAGAGCACGTATGAATATAGAGCACGTATGGATATAGAGCACGTATGGATATAGAGCACGTATGGATATAGAACACATATGAATATAGAGCATGTATGGGTATAGAGCACGTATGGATATAGAGCACGTATGGATATAGAGCACGTATGGATATAGAGCACGCAAGAATATAGAGCACGTATGGATATAGGTCACGTATGGATATAGAGCACGTATGGATATAGGTCACGTATGGATATAGAGCACGTATGGATATAAGGTGCATATGCTTCCGTTACACACTGTTGCCTCTCAGTAATAAATCTTCTAGCGGGAAGCTTGAGAATTTTTCCCAAACCTTGTTATGATTATCCACGAAAGTCTGAATAAATGCGAAACACTGCAAGATTTTAATTAAGAATGATGAATAAACTTTGTCATTGTTCCTGCAGGAGCAGCTCAACAACCTCATGAAGACCCTCAACACTACTCATCCTCACTTCATGCGCTGCATCATTCCCAACGAGACCAAGTCCCCGGGTACGTTATGTCCGGCTTCACGGACGAGGGTTCGCGTACCATAGTTATTATTGCTCGGCATAGCATCACTCAGGGATAGAGACACTTAGGTACAGTGTAAATAAGTTGATTAGACACATGTGCAACATGTGTCTGGGACTGATGAAGTCACCGAAAAGTGGGGAAACGTTTCCACAATAGAGATATCCGAGTGTTTCACATGTGTCTAATTTATCAACTTACATGCAGTCCAGGCCATTTAGTAAGAAGAAATGTGTCTCAGTTACAGATGTTCTGACCCATCCACAAGTGAATGTATCCACAACTTATTTGATACCCACAGGTGTGACTGACGCGGCGCTTATCATGCATCAGCTGACCTGTAACGGAGTACTTGAGGGCATCAGGATCTGTCGCAAAGGCTTCCCCAACAGGATGATTTATCCCGACTTTAAGCACCGGTGAGTTTGTTACCTGTTCACTGTTTTGAAGGGGCTGCTGCCTTCACATTGCTATGGAGGGGCTGCTGCCTTCGCATTGCTATGGAGGGGCTGCTGCCTTCACATTGCTATGGAGGGGCTGCTGCCTTCACATTGCTATGGAGGGGCTGCTGCCTTCACATTGCTATGGAGGGGCTGCTGCCTTCACATTGCTATGGAGGGGCTGCTGCCTTCGCATTGCTATGGAGGGGCTGCTGCCTTCACATTGCAAGGAGGGGCTGCTGCCTTCGCATTGCTATGGAGGGCTGCTGCCTTCGCATTGCTATGGAGGGGCTGCTGCCTTCGCATTGCTATGGAGGGGCTCGCATGCCTCGCATTGCATGGACGGGGCTGCTGCCTTCCGCATATACTCTTATATCAGATTTCTTCACTCGAATGCAGATAAATTAATCCTGGATACCGTAGAAGTAATCACGAAGTGGTCAGTCCCTCAGTCTTGAAAGTAGGTAGTCAGTCCCTCAGTCTTGAAAGTAGGTGGTCAGTCCCTCAGTCTTGAAAGTAGGTGTCAGTCCCTCAGTCTTGAAAGTAGGTGGTCAGTCCCTCAGTCTTGAAAGTAGGTGGTCAGTCCCTCAGTCTTGAAAGTAAGTGGTCAGTCCCTCTGTCTTGAAAGTAGGGGGTCAGTCCCTCAGTCTTGAAAGTAGGAGGTCAGTCCCTCAGTCTTGAAAGTAGGTGGTCAGTCCCTCAGTCTTGAAAGTAGGTGGTCAGTCCCTCTGTCTTGAAAGTAGGTGGTCAGTCCCTCAGTCTTGAAAGTAGGTGGTCAGTCGCTCAGTCTTGAAACTAGGTGGTCAGTCGCTTAGCCTTGAAAGTAGGTGGTCAGTCCCTCAGTCTTGAAAGTAGGTGGTCAGTCCCTCAGTCTTGAAAGTAGTGGTCAGTCCCTAGTCTTGAAAACGGTGGTCAGTCTCTCTGTCTTGAAGTAGTGTGGTCATCCCTCAGTCTTGAAAGTAGGTGTCAGTCCTTCACATCTTGAAAGTAGGGGTCAGTCCCACAATCTAGAAAGTAGGGGGTCAGTTCCACAATCTGGAAAGTAGGGGGTCAGTCCTACAGTCTGGAAAGTAGGTGGTCAGTCCCTCAGTCTTGAAAGTAGGGGGTCAGTCCCACAATCTGGAAAGTAGGGGGTCAGTCCCTCAGTCTTGAAAGTAAGGGATCAGTCACACAGTCTGGAATGCAGGGGGGGTCAGTCCCACAGTCTTGAAAGTAGGGGCATCAGTCCTTCAGTCTTGAATGTAGGGGGTCAGTCCCGCAGTCTTGAAAGTAGGGGGGTCAGTCCCACAGTCTTAAAAGTAGGGGGGTCAGTCCCACAGTCTTGAAGTAGGGGGGTAGTCCCACAGTCTATGAAGCAGGGGGTCAGTCCCACAGTCTATAAATTAGGGGCCCAGTTCCACAGTCTTGAAAGTAGGGGGGTCAGTCCCACAGTCTAAAAGCAGGGGGGTCAGTCCCACAGTCTTGAAAGTAGGGGGTCAGTCCCACAGTCTTGAAAGTACCGGGGTCAGTCCCACAGTCTATAAAGTAGGGGGTCAGTCCCACAGTCTTGAAAGTAGGGGGGTCAGTCCCACAGTCTTGAAAGTAGGGGGTCAGTCCCACAGTCTTGAAAGTAGGGGGTCAGTCCCACAGTCTTGAAAGTAGGGGGTCAGTCCCATAGTCTTGAAAGTAGGGGGGTCAGTTCCACATTCTTGAAAGTAGGGGGGTCAGTCTCACAGTCTTGATAGTAGGGGGGTCAGTCCCACAGTCTTGAAAGTAGGGGGGTCAGTCCCACAGTCTTGAAAGTAGGGGGTCAGTCCTACAGTCTGATAGTAGGGGGGTCAGTCCCACAGTCTTGAAAGTAGGGGATCAGTCCCACAGTCTATAAATGTAGGGGGGTCAGTCCCACAGTCTTGAAAGTAGGGGGGTCAGTCCCACAGTCTTGAAAGTAGGGGGGTCAGTCCCATAGTCTTGAAAGTAGGGGGATCAGTCCCACAGTCTATAAAGTAGGGGGTCAGTCCCACAGTCTTGAAAGTAGGGGGGTCAGTCCCACAGTCTTGAAAGTAGGGGGTCAGTCCCACAGTCTTGAAAGTAGGGGGGTCAGTCCCACAGTCTTGAAAGTAGGGGGGTCAGTCCCACAGTCTTGAAAGTAGGGGGGTCAGTCCCACAGTCTTGAAAGTAGGGGGGTCAGTCCCATAGTCTTGAAAGTAGGGGGGTCAGTCCCACAGTCTTGAAAGTAGGGGGATCAGTCCCACAGTCTATAAAGTAGGGGGGTCAGTCCCACAGTCTTAAAGTAGGGGGGTCAGTTCCACAGTCTTGAAAGTAGGGGGGTCAGTCCCACAGTCTATAAAGCAGGGGGGTCAGTCCCACAGTCTTGAAAGTAGGGGGGTCAGTCCCACAGTCTTGAAAGTACCGGGGTCAGTCCCACAGTCTATAAGAAGGGGGGGTCAGTCCCACAGTCTTGAAAGTAGGGGGGTCAGTCCCACAGTCTTGAAAGTAGGGGGGTCAGTCCCACAGTCTTGAAAGTAGGGGGGTCAGTCCCACAGTCTTGAAAGTAGGGGGGTCAGTCCCATAGTCTTGAAAGTAGGGGGTCAGTTCCACATTCTTGAAAGTAGGGGGGTCAGTCCACAGTCTTGATAGTAGGGGGGTCAGTCCCACAGTCTTGAAAGTAGGGGGTCAGTCCCACAGTCTTGAAAGTAGGGGGGTCAGTCCTACAGTCTTGAAGTAGGGGGGTCAGTCCCACAGTCTTGAAAGTAGGGGGATCAGTCCCACAGTCTAAAGTAGGGGGGTCAGTCCCACAGTCTTGAAAGTAGGGGGGTCAGTCCCACAGTCTTGAAAGTAGGGGGGTCAGTCCCAAGTCTTGAAAGTAGGGGGATCAGTCCCACAGTCTTAAAGTAGGGGGTCAGTCCCACAGTCTTGAAAGTAGGGGGATCAGTCCCACAGTCTTGAAAGTAGGGGGGTCAGTCCCATAGTCTTGAAAGTAGGGGGGTTAGTCCCACAGTCTTGAAAGTAGGGGGGTCAGTCCCACAGTCTTGAAAGTAGGGGGTCAGTCCCACAGTCTTGAAAGTAGGGGGGTCAGTCCCATAGTCTTGAAAGTAGGGGGGTCAGTCCCACAGTCTTGAAAGTAGGGGGATCAGTCCCACAGTCTATAAAGTAGGGGGGTCAGTCCCACAGTCTTGAAAGTAGGGGGGTCAGTCCCACAGTCTTGAAAGTAGGGGGGTCAGTCCCATAGTCTTGAAAGTAGGGGGGTCAGTCCCACAGTCTTGAAAGTAGGGGGGTCAGTCCCACAGTCTTGAAAGTAGGGGGGTCAGTCCCACAGTCTTGAAAGTAGGGGGGTCAGTCCCACAGTCTTGAAAGTAGGGGGGTCAGTCCCACAGTCTTGAAAGTAGGGGGGTCAGTCCCACAGTCTTGAAAGTAGGGGGGTCAGTCCCACAGTCTATAAAGTAGGGGTCATCCACATCTTGAAAGTAGGGGGGTCAGTCCCACAGTCTTGAAAGTAGGGGGGTCAGTCCCACAGTCTATAAAGTAGGGGGGTCAGTCCTACAGTCTTGAAAGTAGAACTGCAGTACACTTATAACGTGACATAACAAGCCTAAAAACGCATCACGGAAAAAAATACCAGCCACTTACTCTTGTAAGTAAGTAAGTAAGTAAGTAAGTAAGTAAAAACATCAGTTAAATTCCACACTCCTCGAAGAAAATGCTGTAGAATTATGTGACTAAAATCCCCACGTCATTAGGAATTTTTCCCACTTCTCCTGACAAACAAAATCCCAGCGGTACCTAATTACACAATAGCTTCGATTAAAGTCAAGTATTTCCAGTTAAACTCAACAAAAGTCATCTCTGAGGGAAATTACAGTTATTATTATATATCAAACATCTCTTTTGTAAATAAACATGACAAAAATAAAAGTATTTTCAACCTGAAGATTATATACGGACGGTATATAGAGTATGTATATAGCTGTATATACACAGGTAGAGGTGAATATCTCTATATATACAGAAGGAAGGTTGTAAATCTTAGAATATATAACTAGAACTATGTATACCTCAGTGCATGTACACCGAGAGGTGTGTATCTATTTACACGGAGAAGTATACCTTTCTCCGTGTATATTCAGAGGTATATATCAATCAGTTTATATACATCAAGCAGTGTTTATCTCCGAGTATATACAATGAGAGTTAACTTTAATCCCTGTCTGATGACTTAGTGTGGTTGACTCTGGTGTTTCCAGCGGAGAGCGACCTTACTGAGCCTCAGTGTGCCCACGACGCTAAGCTTGGGATTACGATGTGCATTTTTAAGCTGAGAGTTTGGCTGGGTGGCGAAGCGGGTGGAATGTAGTGCTGAAGCTTGACTATTATGCTGGTAAAGGCCTCGTCAACTACCTACAGGCGGAGAGATTTTATTTTCTGTGTTATTGGCTTTTGTTATCAAACAAGAGATAGGGCTTCTTTCAGCTTAAATATATTACTAGCAGTGTCTCCTCATTCATCGAGTCTATCACGTTTACAAAACCTTGTTAGAGAAGAATTAGTATGTTAGTGAGATTTGGTCTAAGTCGGACTGAAAGGTTGTTATAAGCTTCTCTCTCCTATGTGCGGGTTATTTGTGTATTGTAAATAAGTTTGAGGAAAATAGAGTAGTACAGATAGGAACTTGAAGAGTATTTGTTCATTATTACGAAATCTGCCATGTAAGGTTTATCTGTGGAGGGAGTAAGAGGGTGAATAGATTAGAGGACGTTGTTTCTGCTAGCTTAAGACTACGTGATAAGTATCTCTGGCGGTTGGGTTTGTGTGGAGATGCCAATGACTCGAAATGATCCTTCCGTAGCTACAAGATCCTGGCCTACAAGGAAATGACACACATCGAGAACGACAAGAAGGCGGCCAGAGCTTGTTTGGAGAAGGCAGGTCTGGACGCAGACCTCTACCGCCTCGGCAACACCAAGGTCTTGAAAAGTAGTCACAATTTGCACCACCTGGATATCCCAACTCCTTCCTTCCTGCCTCTGTACCGATAGTGAACTACTTCGGTTGTTCTATCGAAATGAAAAGTATTTCCGAGCTTGATACAACTCCAGAGAGCATGCTACTCTTATGAAATGTTGCAGCGCCCTACTTTCACTTCCAACTCTTCCTATTCTGAAGGTGGAAGGTGGAGTGACATCGACACTACTGGCGAAAGGTCACTAGTATTTATATTTAGGATAGCTTTACTGGATACGTTGCTTCCCTGTGACCTTGTTTACTTAGTGATCAAGGTCCCAGAACCAAAACATATCCAATAAAGATGCTATAAGTATAAGCACTAGTGACCTTACTGTCGTGTGTTGCGAGATCTTCACCTCTAGTGTTTATTTCATCCCCAGGGAGTGACTCTCCCATCGTACTGTTATGCTTCTTACACGATCTTACCTGAAGATTAAGACACATGTACAACAGTTGGGTATCTTTATTGAGGAAACGTTTCGCTTAACACAGTAGACTTCTTCAGTCAAATACAAAGGGAACACTAGTGATGAAATAAAAATGATGTAATCAGTCCATCAGCCTCGGAGAAGACCTCACCTCCTTGGAGCTGAACTCTTCTCCATGCTGAGGAACTGAACACAAATATTTCTTCTCCAAGGTTAATGGACTGATTGCCTCATATTTATTTCATTACTACTGCTCCCTTTGTATTTGACTGAAGAAGCCCATAGGCGAAACGTTTCACCAATAAAGATACTCAACTGCTGCACATGTGTCTTAATCTTCAACTTCTCGGTATTTTGTACCATTGTCAACAATACAATCTTACCTGCATGACTGAGTGAAGATCACACCAGTGATGATCTTGTTAGTGATGAATTACTTCATCTGGTGACCAGATCACCAGTAGTCATGATGCATGAGCCTGACCTTCATACCATCTCAATATGAAATTGAAAGATCCACTTTATAGGTGATTCCATAACTTGCGTATTTTGCATGACGTTTGTACTCGCTTCTTTTAATGCAGTTCAAAGAAATCCGTCAGCCGTGGATGATTTAAAATATATATTATTTTTCGTGTGGTTGATATCTTATTGGTGTATGTTGGTTTTCTACAATAAAACCGCGACTGACCTAGATCAGTGACCCCTTACTGAGGATTCAGTAAGGGGTCACTGATCTAGTTTTGATGTAGTTTTGAAAGTCTTGTCCAGCCGTGACTCTGTTAACACAGTGACTAACGTTAGAGGAGAATTCGCTTTCGTGAGATCAGATCCCACATACCACAATGACTAACGTTAGAGGAGAATTCGCTTTCGTGAGATCAGATCCTATGTGCGTCTCGCCAGTAGTTTAAAGAAATATTTCCCTCGTTCTTAGGCTATATTTCTCTAACCACGGGTATGATGTGTTTCACAGACTACATTCTTCCGCACGCTTGTTCGATTCTGTTTTGCTCATGAACGAGGTCATGCCTTGTCATCTAATACAGTTAAATTTTGCTTTCCACTGATACGTTGATAATTTATTCGTTGTTCGCGGATATCTACATTCAGGTAGTTCATCTAAATTAAAATAAAAAGACTTTTCAGTGTATATTGTTGTCAGCACTTAGAGCCAGTGTTACTGACAAATGTTCTCAAACAAGCAACAACACTTTAGAGAGGAAACATTGACTACATTTCGGTCCATTGTAAATCAATGTCAAAGTGTTATACGAAGTGTGGATTGTTTACGAATTGTTCCAGCCATGGTACTGTAAGTTTTATTCTTCACCGGCAGGTGTTCTTCCGTGCTGGTGTCTTGGCCACTCTGGAGGAGATCCGGGGTGACCACCTCACTAAGATCATCTCGTGGATACAGTCATGGGTTCGGGGATACATCGGCCGACAGGGCTTCAAGAAACTTCAGGAACAACGAACTGCACTTCTCCGAGTGCAGCACAGCCTGCGGAGGTTCCTGAAGGTGCGCGCCTGGTCCTGGTTCCTCCTCTGGCAGAAGGTGAAGCCTCTGCTCAACGTCACCCGCGTCGAAGATGAGATGAGAGCCCTTGAGGAGAAAGCTACTAAAGCTCAGGAAGACTACGAGAGGGAGTTGAAACTTCGTCAGGAATCTGAGGCGGCGAATCTTACCCTCCTTCAGGAGAAGAGCAACCTCCTCCTTGCTCTTGAGTCAAGCAGAAGCAGTATGACCCAGTTTACCGAGACACAAACTAAGTTGCATGCTGAGAAGGCTGAACTTGAGGCTCTGCTGGCAGTAAGTACACCAATGAAGTTGGTCTTATTATTTTCTTTCTAAAATAGTAAGACATAAGCCTCCAAATACCTAATAATTCGCTACATAACCATCAAGTCACTGTAAATATCTTGACTCTTCATAGATATGATAATCGCATTGTCTCTTAAATTATTAACTTTATAGGTGAAACTCCTGTAAATGCAAATGATAATAAAAATTACACATATAACCCGCACAAGAGAGAGAGAAGCTTCTCTCTTCTATGTGCGGGTTATTTGTGTATTGTTCCAGTTACTGTACTGTATTTTCATGATCCAGGAAACTACGGAACGACTGCAGAATGAAGAGGCGGCCCGCAGCGAGCTCTCTCATAGGAAGAAGTCCACCGACCAGGAGGTTACCAACCTGAAGAAGGAAGTAGAGAATCTGGAGCTAAAAATTCAGAAACTAGAGCAGGAGAAGGCGAGCAAGGACCACCAAATTCAAACTTTAAATGAAGAGATCGCTCACCAAGAAGAAATGATCAACAAGGTGAACAAAGAGAAGAGACACTTGCAGGAGTGCAATCAAAAAACCGCCGAGGACGCTCAGAGTGTTGAGGACAAATGTAACCACCTCAACAAAGTCAAGGTGAAACTCGAGCAAACACTTGATGAGCTTGAAGACTCCCTCGAGCGCGAGAAGAAGCACCGAATTGATATCGAGAAGTCCAAGAGGAAAGCTGAGGGTGACCACAAGCTCACACAAGAAGCTGTTTCTGACTTGGAACGAAGCAAGAGGGAGTTAGAACAGGCCATAGAGCGCAAGGATAAGGAATTTTCAACTCTGGTGAGCAAGCTGGAGGACGAGCAAGGCCTTGTCTCCAGAGTTCAGAGGCAGGTCAAGGAGCTGCAGTCCCGCATTGAAGAACTCGAGGAAGAAGCTGAACACGAGCGCCAAGCTCGAGCCAAGGCTGAAAAGGCGAAGAGTGAATTAGCCCGAGAACTGGACGACCTCGGGGAGCGTCTGGAGGAGGCTGGGGGAGCCACCGCTGCTCAGATCGAACTCAACAAGAAACGCGAAGCTGAGCTGCTGAAGCTTCGAAGAGACCTTGAAGAATCCACCATTCAGCACGAGTCCTCCCTAGCACTCCTGCGCAAGAAGCACCATGATGCTGTGACGGAGATGGCGGAGCAAATAGAATTCCTAAATAAGACGAAGGCTAGGTAAGGCAATGTGTAGTTGAAACTGGCTGGGTTAGATTTATTAACTCATATTCACACAAAATGAAGCATAAAGACCTTAATTCCCAATTGCCTCCCCACTAACACTCCAGCACTTGTCCTCCCGTCAGTATATTAATCACATTCACCAGAGTTTCAATAATCTTCAGTATTCCTCTGTGATTCTAAGGCTTTTCCAGCGTAAGGAAAAAACGTTTTTACTTCAGGAACGAGAGGGACAAAGCTGCCTTGAAGCGTGAAGCTGATGATGCCAAGGCTTCCCTGGACAACCTCGCTCGCGATAAGGTCAGATTAATTGCCTTTAATTACAGCACCTGTAGAGTAAACTACAGGGGGAATTTATTCATATTTCTTTAGGTTTCAAAGTAATTTTTTTTGAAAGAGCAGTTCTAATATTAATTTTTAATTTAAAGGTAAAAAATGATTTACGTGAAGTGGAAAAAAATTATGGTTATGGTGTCCTCTCTGTGAGAGAGATTTTAATAATCATCTAAGAACCATTCTCGAAGTGTTGTTCCAGGGTTTTCTCTCTCTCTCTCTCTCTCTCTCTCTCTCTCTCTCTCTCTCTCTCTCTCTCTCTCTCTCTCTCTCTCTCTCTCTCTCTCTCTCTCTCTCTCTTGTACAATATTGTTCTACACTGTCCCAGGTGATCCATTGCAGTGTATTACCACTTTTAGCATTGTTGGTTCATTGTTCTCACATTGTTCTTACATTGTTCTTACATTGTTCTTCTATTGTTCTCACATTGTTCTCACATTGTTCTCACATTGTTCTTCTATTGTTCTCCCATTGTTCTCCCATTGTTCTCACATTGTTCTCACATTGTTCTCACTTTGTTCTCACATTGTTCTTCTATTGTTCTCCCATTGTTCTCACATTGTTCTTACATTGTTCTCCCATTGTTCTTACATTGTTCTCCCATTGTTCTCACATTGTTCTCACATTGTTCTCCCATTGTTCTTACATTGTTCTCTCATTGTTCTCACATTGTTCTCCCATTGTTCTCCCATTGTTCTCCCATTGTTCTCCCATTGTTCTCTCATTGTTCTTACATTGTTCTTCTATTGTTCTCCCGTTGTTCTCACATTGTTCTCACATTGTTCTCACATTGTTCTCCCATTGTTCTCCCATTGTTCTCTCATTGTTCTTACATTGTTCTTCTATTGTTCTCCCATTGTTCTCACATTGTTCTCACATTGTTCTCACATTGTTCTCCCATTGTTCTCCCATTGTTCTCTCATTGTTCTTACATTGTTCTTCTATTGTTCTCCCATTGTTCTTACATTGTTCTCTCATTGTTCTCACATTGTTCTCCCATTGTTCTCCCATTGTTCTCCCATTGTTCTCCCATTGTTCTCTCATTGTTCTTACATTGTTCTTCTATTGTTCTCCCATTGTTCTCACATTGTTCTCACATTGTTCTCACATTGTTCTCACATTGTTCTCTCATTGTTCTCACATTGTTCTCTCATTGGTCTCACATTGTTCTCACATTGTTCTTCTATTGTTCTCCCATTGTTCTCACATTGTTCTCACATTGTTCTCACATTGTACTCCCATTGTTCTCACATTGTTCTCACATTGTTCTCTCATTGTTCTCACATTGTTCTCACATTGTTCTTCTATTGTTCTCCCATTGTTCTCACATTGTTCTCACATTGTTCTCACATTGTACTCCCATTGTTCTCACATTGTTCTCACATTGTTCTCCCATTGTTCTCACATTTTTCTCACATTGTTCTTCTATTGTTCTACCATTGTTCTCACATTGTTCTTCTATTGTTCTTCTATTGTTCTCCTATTGTTCTCACATTGTTCTCACATTGTTCTCACATTGTTCTCACATTGTTCTCACATTGTTCTCACTTTGTTCTCACATTGTTCTTCTATTGTTCTCCCATTGTTCTCACATTGTTCTTCTATTGTTCTCCTATTGTTCTCACATTGTTCTCACATTGTTCTCACATTGTTCTCACATTGTTCTCACATTGTTCTCACATTGTTCTCACATTGTTCTCACATTGTTCTCACACTGTAGTTAGTCAAACCTCTCACATTTCCACATATTTTTTCTTAAATAAGCTTACCGTGTATTATTGCGAATGTAAATTTAGTTATTATAAGGCGCACAGTACGACTCATTATAGAGTCTCAGTCCTGATAATTTTAGGGAGCGGCTGATAAAAGTTGCAAGCAGCTTCAGAACGAAGCGACAGAGATACAAGCCAGGCTTGACGAAGCCAACCGCACTCTGAACGACTACGATGCTGCCAAGAAGAAGCTCACTCTAGAGAACGCTGATCTTCTGCACCAGCTTGAAGAAGCGGAGAACCAAGTTGGTCAGCTGTCTAAGCTGAAACTCTCCCTTACGAACCAGCTGGAGGACACACAGAAGCTGGCTGATCAGGAAAGTAGGGTAAGATGTGCTCTTGATGCGTCTCTTGTTACTGACTCGATCTTCGTTACTGATCTGGTCTTGCTAATTATACAATAGTGTGAAAATATAGGATAGTGAACCCAACGCTGACAAAAACATTGATTCAGTATCATTGTGGAACATTTGGTGTCAGGTCCCACTGTGATCTGAAGACTCTTCCATCAGCTGTGCTCACTCCTATTGTGACAACACCAGGTGATATGGCGAACCGATACTGAGTCCAAGTCATTGTTAATGGCGGGTTTCTATCTTATAATGATATATCGAAAGCAGGAAAAAAAAACTAACTTCTTATCTTTCACAGGAGCGGGCGACGATACTTGGCAAGTTGCGTAACTTGGAGCATCATATTGATGGTCTCCGAGAGCAACTGGACGATGAGGCCGCAGCCAAGGCTGACCTCCAGCGGATTCTGTCCAAGGCTAATGCCGAGGCCTTGATGTGGCGCTCGAAGTACGAGTCTGAAGGTATTACCCGCGCCGAAGAATTGGAGGCAGCCCGTCTGAAACTTGCTGCCCGACTTGAAGAAGCCGAATCCCAGATTGAGCAGCTGAGTGTCAAGAATATGCAACTGGAGAAGAGTAAACAAAGAGTTTGTGCCGAGCTTGGAGACATGCAGAGTGCAGCTGAACGCTCCCAGTCTCTGGCCAGCGCTGCTGAGAAGAAACAGAAAAACTTCGATAGAATAATTGGTGAGTGGAAGTTGAAGGTGGATGATCTTTCCGCCGAACTGGACGCCTCTCAGAAGGAGTGTCGTAATTATTCAACTGAACACTTTCGCATCAAGGCTGCGTATGAGGAAACCCTTGATACTGTTGACGCAGTGCGCCGTGAGAATAAGAGCCTGTCTGAGGAGGTTAAAGACCTAGTGGATCAGATCGGCGAGGGTGGTCGATCCCTTCACGAATATCACAAGACAATCAAACGTCTCGAGATTGAGAAGGAGGAGCTTCAGTCTGCTCTTGAAGAAGCTGAAGCGGCTCTTGAACAAGAGGAGAACAAAGTGCTTCGTTGTCAACTTGAGCTCGGTCAAGTCAAACAAGAGATTGACAGACGCATCAGCGAGAAGGAGGAGGAGTTTGAGAACACACGGTAAGTTGTTTGTGCACACGAAGGAAACTTGATACGAATGAAAATTTATCTTATAAGTAAAGTATAACTTATTCAACCTCTTTTATTTAATTTCTAGGAAATGCCACCAGCGCGCTATAGATTCCATCCAGGCGTCCCTTGAAGCCGAAGCCAAGAGCAAGGCGGAAGCTCTTCGTCAGAAGAAGAAGTTGGAGTCTGACATCAAGGAACTGGAGATCACCCTCGAGCACTCCAACAAGGCCAACAGCGATTTACAGAAGCACATCAAGAAACTCCAGACTGAGCTGAAGGATCAGCAGAGTCTTCTCGAGGACGAACACAGAGTCGCCTCAGAGTACCGGGAGCAGTATGGTATTTCAGAGAGACGCGCTAATGCTCTGCATGTGGAACTGGAGGAGTCCAGAGCACTGCTGGAACAGTCTGATCGAGGCCGCCGTTACGCTGAGTGTGAGCTCAGTGACTGTCAGGAGCAACTATGCACAGTCTCTTCCCAGAACAGTTCCCTCATTGTGGTCAAGAGAAAACTGGAGAGTGAACTACAGACCACTCATGTAAGAATAACTCATTTTTTACCCATTTAAAAGTTATAATAATAATCTGGAAATAGTTTTGATATTAAATACAAGAATTTTCTACGGTTGTTTATCATATTTCATCGTTTTCCTGGGATATTCACTTGTGAGCTTCAGACGCCTGTGATCACAGGCGAGAGTATAGCAAGAGTATAGCCACTGAACTAGTTGAATGGCTAAACACTTACCTGTAACTAGGATTAAATGGTTATAACTTTAACCATAATTTTTAAATGAGTGGAGGGGTAAGTAAGCGGAAGGTCTCGGTCAGATGACCAAAAGCTCCAACGGCTGGTCATCATCTATGACCCGCGTCAGGAAGCACTTGCCCTGTTTCCTGACAAACCTAACTTAACACTTACCAGTGTTCACAGGCATCTGGGGATCACTTCTTAAGTGAATATTCCAGAAAAAACGATGAAAAAAATATGATTAATTAAAAAAATTAATTTGTTAAAAGTAATGAATGTGATTTATATATAAAGGGAAAACAGTATCCACAATTCGACAAAACATGTACAACATTTCCGTACCTTTACTGTCTGCAATAAAGATACTTAGGTGTTGCAAATGTGGCCCAGGTGATATACATAATTTACTATAATTTTGCGTTCCATCTGTTTTCCAAAGGCTGACCTGGACGAGATGTTGAGTGAGGCCAAGAACTCCGAGGAGAAGGCTAAGAAGGCCATGGTTGACGCCGCCCGCCTGGCTGATGAACTCCGCGCTGAGCAGGAACACGCCCAGACCCAGGAGAAGTTGCGCAAAGGTCTTGAGGTAACTGTTAAGGAACTACACTCCCGCCTAGAAGAGAGCGAGAACAATGCTGTGAAGAACGGTAAGAAGGCTGTGGGGAAGCTGGAGCTTCGCGTTCACGAGCTGGAAGGTCAACTGGATGATGAAGCACGTCGTCACGCCGACGCTCAGAAGAACCTGAGGAAGTGTGAGAGGCGCATCAAGGAGCTCACCTTCCAGGCTGATGAAGACAAGAAGAACCACGAGAAGATGCAGGACCTTGTTGACAAGCTGCAACAGAAGATCAAGACCTACAAGCGCCAGATCGAGGAGGCTGAAGAAATCGCCGCTCTCAACTTGGCCAAATACCGCAAAGCCCAACAAGAACTTGAAGAGGTGGAAGAACGTAGTGGTAGTGGTGGTGGTGTCCCCGCTGTCCAGACAGCCACTAACCTGCTGGTGTAACAACCAAAGACACTTCATTTCTATTACACGTCACTACCTCATGTTTAACACTTTTAGGTTCGTACCTGTGAATTCCGACAAGGGAAACGAGAGTATGTGTATGTACCGGACAATACTGCTGGGCTGAGGTCTCCACCCCATGGGAGACCTTCCAGTACTTGAAGGTCTCCACCCCATGAGAGACCTTATAGTACTGGAAGGTCCCCACCCCATGAGAGACCTTGCAGTACTGGAAGGTCCTCACCCCATGAGAAACTTTCCAGTACTTGAAGATCCCCACCCCATGAGAGACCTTCCAGTACTTGAAGGTCTCCACCCCATGAGAGACCTTCCAGTACTGAAAGGTCCCCACCCTATGAGAGACCTTCCAGTACTTGAAGGTCCCCACCCCATGAGAGACCTTCCAGTACTTGAAGGTCCCCACCCCATGAGAGACCTTCCAGTACTTGAAGGTCCCCATCCCATGAGAGACCTTCCAGTACTTGAAGGTCCCCACCCCATGAGAGACCTTGCAGTACTGGAAGGTCCCCACCCCATGAGAGACCTTCCAGTACTTGAAGGTCCCCATCCCATGAGAGACCTTCCAAATACTTGAAGGTCCCCACCCCATGAGAGACCTTGTAGTACTGGAAGGTCCCCACCCCATGAGAGACCTTCCAGTACTGGAAGGCTCCCAGATCCAACTTCATTATGTCCTCCAGAGTTATTTACAATCAAATTTCTTCTTCAAAAAGAATCCTCTTAAACAGATTATAAACAAGAATAAGTGTTCTTTTTTACTATATTAAGCATGTATCAGTGTCACTCTTGTCTTAAAAATAATAAAAAAAAGCATCAAGAAGCGCAATGTTACCAATAACATGTTATGTATCCGGGCCAAGTGTCACTGTTGTTTACCTGTGTTTAGTAATTAATTAGCAAAGATGTTTTCTTTACTCAGGTACCAAATAATTTTGTTTATTTAAACATTATTAATAAAGTATTACCTCTTCTTAAACAAGAAAGTCTCAGTATCCTTTAACAGAATGTTATTAAACTGCGTCATACACTATATGTATAATTGTGTGTATAACTGTATACATAGAGTCACAGAGGAAGTTGAATGATAGCTCTAGGCCTTGCGTGTTGCAATCTGCCCGAAACTCCTACTCTTTTCCTGCAACATTGCAAGCTTTTTGTGTTGGTTGCAACACGAAAGGCCTCTCTCTCTCTCTCTCTCTCTCTCTCTCTCCCTCTTCTCTTCTCTCTCTCTCTCTCTTCTCTCTCTCTCTCTCTCTCTCTCTCTCTCTCTCTCTCTCCTCTCTTCTCTCTTCTCTCTCTCTCTCTCCTCTCTCTCTCTCCTCTCTCTCTCTCTCTCTCTCTCTCATCTCTCTCTCTTCTCTTTTCTCTATCTTCTTCTTATATATATATATATATATATATATATATATATATACATATATATGGATATATATATATATATATATATATATATATATATTTATATATAATATATTATATATATATATATACTATATATATATTATATGTGTGTGTTGTGTGTGTGTGTGTGGTGTGTGTACGACTGAGGTGTAAGATAGGTTAGATAGTAGTAAGTAGTAGTAGTAGTAGTAACAGTAGTAGTGATAAGAGTTAAGGATCAGTCTTAATGACACCCGGGGGTCAATAGATCTTAACCCGCCCATTACCCATAATAATAATAATATTAACCACTTTAAGCTGATTGTTGAGGTGTCTCCAAGGCAACAAGAATGGCACTGACGTGAGTGTGGATGTGCTGGCACCCACATTATGGGTGCCAAGGCAACAAGAATGGCACTGACGTGAGTGTGGATGTGCTGGCACCCACATTATGGGTGCCAAGGCAACAAGAATGGCACTGACGTGAGTGTGGATGTGCTGGCACCCACATTATGGGTGCCAAGGCAACAAGAATGGCACTGACGTGAGTGTGGATGTGCTGGCACCCACATTATGGGTGCCAAGGCAACAAGAATGGCACTGACGTAAGTGTGGGTGTGCTGGCACATTATGGGTTCCAAGGCAACAAGAATGGCATTGGCGTGAGTGTGGATGTGCTGGCACCCATATTATGAGTGCCAAGGCAACAAGAATGGCACTGACGTGAGTGTGGACGTGCTGGCACCCACATTATGGGTGCCAAGGCAACAAGAATGGCACTGACGTGAGTGTAAATGTGCTGGCACCCACATTATGGGTTCCAAGGAAACAAGAATGGCATTGGCGTGAGTATGGATGTGCTGGCACCCACGTTATGGGTGCCAAGGCAACAAGAATGGCACTGACGTGAGTGTGGATGTGCTGGCACCCACATTATGGGTGCCAAGGCAACAAGAATGGCACTGACGTGAGTGTGGATGTGCTGGCACCCACATTATGGGTGCCAAAGGCAACAAGAATGGCACTGACGTAAGTGTGGGTGGCTGGCAAAATTATGGGTTTCCAAGCAACAAGAATGGCATTGGCGTGAGTGTGGATGTGCTGGCACCCATATTATGAGTGCCAAGGCAACAAGAATGGCACTGACGTGAGTGTGGACGTGCTGGCACCCACATTATGGGTGCCAAGGCAACAAGAATGGCACTGACGTGAGTGTAGATGTGCTGGCACCCACATTATGGGTTCCAAGGAAACAAGAATGGCATTGGCGTGAGTATGGATGTGCTGGCACCCACATTATGGGTGCCAAGGCAACAAGAATGGCACTGACGTAAGTGTGGGTGTGCTGGCACATTATGGGTTCCAAGGCAACAAGAATGGCACTGACGTGAGTGTGGATGTGCTGGCACCCACATTATGGGCGCCAAGGCGACAAGAATGGCACTGGCGTGAGTGTGAATGTGCTGGCACCCACATTATGGGCGCCAAGGCAACAAAAATGGCACTGACGTGAGTGTGGGCATGCTGGCACCCATATTATGGGTGCCAAGCCAACAAGAATGGCATTGACGTGAGTGTGGGTGTGCCGTCACCCACATTATGGGTGCCAAGGCAACAAAAATGGCACTGACGTGAGTGTGGGCATGCTGGCACCCACATTATGGGTGCCAAATCAACAAGAATGGCATTGACGTGAGTGTGGGTGTGCCGGCACCCACATTATGGGTGCCAAGGCAACAAAAATGGCACTGACTTAAGTGTGGGTGTGCTGGCACCCACATTATGGGTGCCAAGACAACAATAATGGCACTGGCGTAAGTGTGGTGGCACCCACGGTAGAGGTGCCAAGACATTCTTCCGCCTTCCATCTCAAACTTATACTGAAAATAGAATTTACTGAGCTAAGGCGAGGGTGGGGAATGAGAGGCAGGGAGAGAGAAGCACAAGATAGGGAGAGAGAGGCACAAGAGAGGGAGAGAGAGGCACAAGAGAGGGAGAGAGAGAGTGGAAGAATGAGAGGCAGGGAGAGAGAGGCACCAACTGTAAGAGAGCCATCAACTGTGTGACAACAGCATCAAGTGTGATGACAGACATCAAGTGTGATGACAGACATCAAGTGTGATGACAGATATGAGCGGCTAGAAAGATAATCGTCAAGATACTAGAGGAGACTTCAGGATCATGGTGCTAGGGGAGACTTCTGGGTCATGGTACTAGAGGAGACTTTAGGGTCATGGTGCTAGGGGAGACTTCAGGATCATGGTGCTAGGGGAGACTTCTGGGTCAAAGGTACTAGAGGAGACTTCAGGGTCATGGTGCTAGGGGAGACTTCAGGGTCATGGTGCTAGGGGAGACTTCAGGGTCATGGTGCTAGAGGAGACTTCAGGATCATGGTGCTAGGGGAGACTTCTGGGTCATGGTACTAGAGGAGACTTCAGGGTCATGGTGCTAGAGGAGACTTCAGGGTCATGGTGCTAGGGAGACTTCTGGGTCATGGTACTAGAGGAGACTTCAGGGTCATGGTGCTAGAGGAGACTTCAGGGTCATGGTGCTAGGGGAGACTTCAGGATCATGGTGCTAGGGGAGACTTCTGGGTCATGGTACTAGAGGAGACTTCAGGGTCATGGTGCAAGAGGAGACTTCAGGGTCATGGTGCTAGAGGAGACTTCAGGGTCATGGTGATAGAGGAGACTTCAGGGTCATGGTGCTAGAGGAGACTTCAGGGTCATGGTGCTAGAGGAGACTTCAGGGTCATGGTGATAGAGGAGACTTCAGGGTCATGGTGCTAGAGGAGACTTCAGAGTCATGGTGATAGAGGAGACTTCAGGGTCATGGTGCTAGAGGAGACTTCAGGATAAGGGTGATAGAGGAGACTTCAGGGTCATGGTGATAGAGGAGACTTCAGGGTCATGGTACTAGAGGAGACTTCAGGGTCATGGTGCTAGAGGAGACTTCAGGGCCATGGTGATAGAGGAGACTTCAGGGTCATGGTGATAGAGGAGACTTCAGGATCATGGTGCTAGGGGAGACTTCAGGGTCATGGTGCTAGGGGAGACTTTAGGGTCATGGTGCTAGAGGAGACTTCAGGGTCATGGTGCTAGGGGAGACTTCAGGGTCATGGTGCTAGGGGAGACTTTAGGGTCTTGGTGCTAGGGGAGACTTCAGGGTCATGGTGCTAGGGGAGACTTCAGGACCATGGTGATAGAGGAGACTTCAGGGTCATGGTGATAGAGGAGACTTTAGGGTCATGGTGCTAGGGGAGACTTCAGGGTCATGGTGCTTGGGGAGACTTCAGGACCATGGTGATAGAGGAGACTTCAGGGTCATTGTGCTAGGGGAGACTTCAGGATCATGGTGATAGAGGAGACTTCAGGGTCATGGTGCTAGAGGAGACTTCAGGGTCATGGTGCTAGAGGAGACTTCAGGGTCATGGTACTAGAGGAGACTTCAGGGTCATGGTGCTAGAGGAGACTTCAGGGTCATGGTGCTAGAGGAGACTTCAGGGTCATTGTGATAGAGGAGACTTCAGGGTCATGGTGCTAGAGGAGACTTCAGGGTCATGGTGCTAGAGGAGACTTCAGGGTCATGGTGCTAGGGGAGACATCAGGGTCATGGTGCTAGGGGAGACTTCAGGACCATGGTGATAGAGGAGACTTCAGGGTCATGGTGCTAGGAGAGACTTTAGGGTCATGGTGCTAGGGGAGACTTCAGGGTCATGGTGCTAGGGGAGACTTCAGGACCATGGTGATAGAGAAGACTTCAGGGTCATTGTGCTAGGGGAGACTTCAGGATCATGGTGATAGAGGAGACTTCAGGGTCATGGTGCTAGAGGAGACTTCAGGGTCATGGTGCTAGAGGAGACTTCAGGGTTATGGTGATAGAGGAGACTTCAGGGTCATGGTGCTAGGAGAGACTTCAGGGTCATGGTGCTAGAGGACACTTCAGGGTCATGGTGCTAGAGGAGACTTCAGGGTCATGGTGCTAGAGGAGACTTCAGGGTCATGGTGCTAGAGGAGACTTCAGGGTCATGGTGCTAGAGGAGACTTCAGGATCATGGTGCTAGAGGACACTTCAGGGTCATGGTGCTAGAGGACACTTCAGGGTCACGGTGCTAGAGGACACTTCAGGGTCATGGTGCTAGAGGAGACTCTAGGTTCATGGTGCTAGAGGAGACTTCAGGGTCATGGTGCTAGAGGAGACTTCAGGATCATGGTGCTAGAGGAGGCTTCAGGGTCATGGTGCTAGGGGAGACTTCAGGGTCATGGTGCTAGAGGAGACTTCAGGGTCATGGTGCTAGAGGAGACTTCAGAGTCATGGTGCTAGAGGAGACTTCAGGGTCATGGTGCTAGAGGAGACTTCAGGGTCATGGTGCTAGAGGAGACTTCAGGGTCATGGTGCTAGGGGAGACTTCAGGGTCATGGTGATAGAGGAGACTTCAGGGTCATGGTGCTAAGGGAGACTTCAGGGTCATGGTGCTAGGGGAGACTTCAGGGTCTATGTGATAAAGGAGACTTCAGGGTCATGGTGATAGAGGAGACTTCAGGGTCATTG